TTTGAACCCTCTTTCGAGCTCTGTGGTGACAGCTCAGAGCCTGGAGCCTGTTTCGGATTCTGTGTCTCCTTCTCTCTCTGCCCCTCCCCCACTTGTGCTCTGTCTCTCAAAAATAAATAAATGTAAAAAAAAATTAAAGATGAACTGCTGACCAGTATTTTGTCATTTTTCTCCTTCATAGGGCTTAAAGATCTGGGATAGTGTCTCTTTCCTGTATTCCCCTTAACTTTGTGAAAACTGCATCATTATTGAGAAAAAAACCAAACATCTTTGTAAGTTAGTTTTTTGGATTGATATCAAATTTTTACTACAAAACTCTTTGTACCAACCAATTACTCAAAAACAGAGCATCTGCACCCAGTATTGCCCTGTGTATCCCTTCAAATTTTCCAATACATGAAAAATATGACTGAGAACATTTGCTGATATTTACTGAGCATGTATTATGTGCTATTCTAAGGGCTTTAAATAGTTTTATTTAACCCTCACATAACCTTACAAATCAATGTTAATCCCCATTTCTACAGATGACGAAAGTAACACATAGAGCAATTAGCTTACCAAGTATCTCAAAGCTAGGAAAGGAGACAAGTCACTGGAAACATACAGCCTTCTTTAGAAAACATATTATTAACCTTGTGTTATGCTCCCTTATAGATCACTGAAGACATTGAGGCAACACTGGGAGAAAGATGCTATTAAAATAAAGTTATGATGCATGAACTTGGGAGAACACAGGTAACATGGAGCAAGTAAAGTGATGCAATTCACCTTGATGATATACAGAAGAAACTAGGTCTTTCTTGTAGACATTTACAAAAATTTCTTGAGTGTCTACAATGTATATGTCAGGCACTGCTTTATCATTCAGGTGAATAAAATCAGACATAAATGTTACCTTATGGAAATCATCATCTAATTTGGGATGCATGTATATTTATAAGTTGTAATAGTTGTGATAGGAAGAAGCGATTGTGAGTCATGAGAGGCTATACTGGGGCTATTTGTAGGTGTCTAGGACCAAATCTTGGGGCCTTCAAATATGTAACCCTCCCTTCCCCCCCAAAAAAGAGAAGTACTACAGATTAACACGGATGGGTCAGAAAGGTAGGAGATATGGTAGATCAGATGAGTATATTGCTCATGAAAGCCAAGGGAAAAGCAACTTTTGAGAGACAGAATGATTAATACTAATACTAGTATGAGTTCAAATAAGAGTTAAAAATATCCATTGAAAATATCAACCTAGATATAACAGGTAATCTTTTTTTGGATAAGCTGCTGGAATAACTTTTTATTCCTCTACTCTCTCACTGTCTCTTCCTCTTTTTTTCTTTTCCATAAATTGTGTGTATTTGTTAAGAGAGGTGAAGTAGAGGTAGGTTGAATAAAAGGACATGATCAAGTGTGTAGATTACTGGCTTGAACAAGGCAGAATCTATCAGTGCTCTAAGTTAGCTGGATACTCTTAACATTTATTTAAATCTTCAGCCTTAGAGAAATGAGCTGATTCTCAAATTAGCTACAAATAGCCTGTAGACAAGCCATTTAAAATGTGATTTTCTCAGTTTGCAAAAATGAACCACACTTACTCTTGCAAAGAAAATCATGCTGTCCATCAGGTGGGTGATTGAGTGGCCATCATGCTTCTTTGCTGTCTAGCATGCTGCTCATGGTCAAAAGTTCGGTGGGGATTTAACATGAAAATTTGGAGAATTACTGTGCCCAGGAGGGGAGATGATTTAGGCAAGAGAACATACTGAGATGAATTGTAGCAACTGAAAATAGAATTTTTGTGTGGCTTTTTGTGATGGTTCCAGAGACTGTGGTGGTTTGCCTTTAAGTTCTACTCTGATTGTAGGTAAAAGATGGAATTTCCTTTCACTTTTTTACCCATTCAATCCTGATCATCCATATTATTCTTATCAGACATGATCATTACTACATATGGATTAGTCATTCTAATGTACTGGGACTTGGCAGAAAATATACTAATTATATTGCATCAGTTAAGCCCTTTAGACCTCCACAAAATAGGCTAATGTCAAGAAATGATATATGCTCATAAAAAAATAAATAGGGAGCTTGAGATTAGAATTCAGGGCACTGGTTTAACAATCCTTTTCTCGCCACTTAGCTACAAAACTAATGTTACAGCTGTTCATGGCCATTTAAAATAGAAGAGAACATATTGCCAAAGGAGGGTGTGGGTGTATGTCAGGCACTGTTTTCTGGCCAAATTTCAAGTTGGATAATTCTTTACCAACTTCCTGAATCTCTGTTATTTTACTGGAACAATATCCATTCCTTTCCTCTCTTGTTAATCAGTGTTGTTTGCTGTTAAATATTTGCCACGATATATTTTAAAGTTGAAATGGAAAGTCCTAGTTAGTCTTCTGAAAGGTAATAAAGCAATCTCATGTACATACATTGGGTATCTTCTTTGAGCTAGACACTTTGAATTAATAAGAACATCTGAAAGTCTGTTATTGTAAACAGAATTTCATACTTACCTAATTGAGCTTTTTCAACAGTGCTTTAACTTCAGACCAAATACTGACACCAACTGCTAACAAACAGGAGCTTACCGGTTGGGTTGGGATATCTGTTTTGAAAGGCACTAACAATATTTAAAGTCGTATTTCCAACTTAAAAATTTCTGCTTCTTTGCTTTACTGCCCTCCTCATCTCCCTCCTGCTATATACTTTTAACAGAAGCACTCAGAGCTACTTGGATGGAAAAGCTATCTTGACTTCTTACAAAGACCAACATCTTAAGTGGTTTCCAAGTTGTTTTGATGGATATTGTTTATCAAGTCATTTCTGTCTCTCTGTTTAAAATACACAAAACCAAATGTACTTCGAGAGACAGTAAAACAAATCAAATAATACATATTCAGCCCTTTCCCAAATGCCTGAAAGAAACAAGTGAAGCACTTACAAAAAAAATGACAAGTGCTTTGCTGCCTTTATCTTTTTCTTTCTTTATCAGGCTTGAAATCATTTTTGAAAGGAAAAAAGCGTCTAGTGTGGACATTTCTATTTCAACAAGATAGCTTGCTATTCTGCCTTAAGTAGCAACAGCAAGGTAAATACAGAAAATAACTTTAAATGGACATATTTAACTGTAAGAACTTGAATGCAATTGATACACTTCTAAGAGCAGATTCTGAAGTAGAAAAAATATATATAATTACTCCTCTTTCCCCAGAATAAAAAGGAATATGTAAGTACAAATAAAACATTGGCTTCTTTATATTAAAAAGATTTAAAATATTTCCTTGACTAACTGACAAGAGATTCATTTTAAGAATTATTTAATATTTTTTAACCTACCACTGTTTGGCAATTATACAAACATATTATGCATTTAGTTATTTGAATAAAAAACAGAAAAGCACACTACAAAATCAAGACGTTACCTAAACATCCCCACATAATCAGGATATAAATATTATTCAAACAGTGTGCACTGTTCATATGCTGTCTGAAATATCTAAGTGAATTTCCAATTCAGTCAGTACAAATTGCTTCAAAAATTCAAATAGCCCAAACATGCTAGTTCATAGGACTCTGGCTAGCTGCGAATGTCCAGCTCTTTTATTACCCTATGGTCTTCAGCCAACTTTCCCTTGCTCACCTCCAACATTTGTTCATTTTACCCTCTCAGTTGCTTAAAATGCAATTTCACACACTCTTCTTTCTCCTCCTTCTCTACCTCCTTTTCCTCCTGCTCATTCTTCTCATTCTTCATGTTCGAACTCCACATACTAATAATACTTTCTTTACTTTAACCAATCAAATATTTTTAATTCCTCCAAGAAAACTCTGAAACACTTCTCTGTGAAAACTAAAACAGGGATTTGCCATGAATCCTCCATTCCTGCAATTATAATTACTTAAAATCTTTTTTTTTTTATTGTATAATTGGTTGTCAAAAACCTCTGTGGACCTATCAGTTTATATGCACTGATTACACATGCTTTAGATTAAGTCACTCTTGTGAATTGATGATATTTCCTGACATACCATTTGAGAATATTTCGTTCTTGCTCTTTTCCTCAATCCATATAAAATTCAAATACCTACTCTGGCAGATTTAAAAGCTAAAACTTTCAGCAACTAAGAGGCATCTTAGATTTGCTGTCTTCAACTAATGATGAGTAAATGAGAATGGACAATATCAGGGCATAGACAAAGACAAGCACATCATAGGAGTTAAGAAATGCTGAGATGTGCCTGCTGAGCCCACTGTCTGGTAAGGATCCTGGATACTTGGAACAGAGATTCTGCAGAATGGAATGAGAAGTTCCATGAATTTTTTTTTCCTGGTTTTATATCTAATAGGAACTAACAGAAGGAAAAAATGTTGGAATAATAGGTTTAAAAAAACAGGGGCACTTGTATGTACACAAACCTCAATCCCATGACTAACAGACTCATCTGAAGAGTGCCCATTGTTTGAGGGTAGCTATTTTTGGAAAATATGCAGAATGACTGCCAATGGTGCCAAGTGGCCCAAAGAGAGAACTTTATATCAATGTACTTAACGAAGGGTTCATAGTTCTATAGTGTCCCAACCTAAGTATCTGAGGAGTCCATTTGATTTGACCCCACCTATAAAAAAATGTGATATTTTTATTTATGTATGTAAATTTGTGTGTATCCATATATGATCAAATATATATCTATATCATTACAGCTAAATGTTTAAGCTTCATGCGGTCGTAATCTTACTTAATACAATACTATTTCTTTTGTTTTACTCATTTGGCTGAATACTAGCACTGTTTCAATCTTTTTCCTAGCCTTCAACATTATAACCTTGCCTTATTCTCTTTGGCATCTTATTCTGCATCATTTTATTTCCCAGTTAAACACCCATACAGGTCTCTCTGAGAAAAGCTGCAATGAGCTTCCCTCAATTTTAAATCAATATTCCTTAATTAAGTCTTATACAGTAATTATGCCCAGTAAGAGAAATAGAAAATCAAAATAAGTAAAATAAAATTGAAGTTTATTTTGCCCTGTCATAAAAGAAGTACAGAGTTCAGCCCTCCAGGACTGATAGGAAAGCTGTCTATTGCCAGCAAAGAGGCACACACCTTTAATAGCCCCAAGAATTTAGCACTCAGCTTCCATCCTCAATGTCAAGGTCCAAAATAACTACAGATCTTCATCCATTCGGTCTTAGTTCTACACAAGAAGAAGGAAATGGAAATGAAAGAGATGGCAAAGAGGTGCACATTAGCCGTCTGTCCCTCCCTCAAGGAATTTTCTCAGAAGTGCCATCTGTCAACTCCCCCTTATATGTAATTGACCACCTTAGCTGCAACGGAGCCTGAGAAACGCAGTTGCTATTATGGGCACACGGCCGAGCAATAAACTAGTAATTCATTTCTAAGAAAAACAGAATATACCTGAAGTAGGAAACTAGTATTCTTTGATTACAAAGTCTTTTTCTCCCTAGGGGGAAAAATAGTAGTATTCCAATGAATACTCCAGCTTTCCCTGAATTTTACACTAGCTCTTTAAATTTGTAACTACCCTAAACATATTGAAATGTTTCTACTTTAATTTTCTATGGTAATTTCTGTAACTTTTATAACATAGGAGATATAATTTGAGGAACTCAGTGGTTTAAGAAAAAAATAGCTTTCTTCTACTATTTGTGTGGTTGACTGCATTATGATTCCAAATCATTTGCTTCTCTCTCTCTTTTTGTCTTGGAGAATTACATATCTTGACACATTGCAATATATCTTGCATTACTTTACTGTAGGTGAAATGTATTTCCTTTCTTCAATGTCAGGTATGCCAGTGTGACTTACTTCAGCCAATAAAATGAATCAGAAGTAGTACAAGCTTATTTTTAGAGGAAGCTTTATGTGCTATTGTCTGTCTCCATAAACTGTCTTGTTCTTTTCCCTTTGCCATAAGCATACCACATCACAGATGGGGGTCTACCTTTGGCCTCTGCTCTGAAAGGAGATGGCATATCCAGTAGAAGCAAAGTAGATGAGAACCATAGACATATCAAGCAAGAACCAAACAAATGTTATTACGTGCTGTTAAGATGTTATGGTTACTGAGGGTTCCAGGGATGATGGCGGCGTAGGAGGACGCTGGGCTCACCGCGCGTCCTGCTGATCACTTAGATTCCACCTACACCTGCCTAATAACCCAGAAAACCACCAGAGGATTAGCAGAACGGAGTCGCCGGAGCCAAGCGCAGACGAGAGGCCCACGGAAGAGGGTAGGAAGGGCGGCGAGGCGGTGCGCGCTCCACGGACTGGCGGGAGGGAGCCGGGGCGGAGGGGCGGCTCGCCGGCCAAGCAGAGCCCCCGAGTCTGGCTTGCAAAAAGTGGAGGGGCCTGACGGACTGTGTTCCGACAGCAAGCGCGACTTAGCGGCTGGGAGGTCATAAGTTAACAGCTCTGCTCAGAAAGCGGGAAGGCTGGAGGACAAAGGGAAGGAGAGCTGCTGAGCCCCCGGAAGACAGAGCTCAGTTTGGTGGGGAACAAAGGCGCTCGCTAGCGCCATCTTCCCCGCCCATCCCACAGCCCAAATCCCAAAGAGAACCAGTTCCTGCCAGGGAACTTGCTCGCTCCGCGCAAACACCCAACTCTGCGCTTCTGCGGAGCCAAACCTCCGGCAGCGGATCTGACTCCCTGCTGCTGCCACAGGGCCCCTCCTGAAATGGATCACCTAAGGAGAAGCAAGCTAAGCCTGCCCCTCCTGCCCCTGTGCACCTTGCCTACCCACCCCAGCTAAGACGCCAGATCCCCAGCATCACAAGCCTGGCAGTGTGCAAGTAGCCCAGACAGGCCACCCCACCCCACAGTGAATCCCGCCCCTAGGAGAGGGGAAGAGAAGGCATGCACCAGTCTGACTGTGGCCCCAGCAGTGGGCTGGGGGCAGACATCAGGTCTGACTGCGGCTCCGCCCACCAACTCCAGTTATACACCGCAGCACAGGGGAAGTGCCCTGCAGGTCCTCACCACGCCAGGGACTATCCAAAATGACCAAGCGGAAGAATTCCCCTCAGAAGAATCTCCAGGAAATAACAACAGCTAATGAGCTGATCAAAAAGGATTTAAATAATATAACAGAAAGTGAATTTAGAATAATAGTCATAAAATTAATCGCTGGGCTTGAAAACAGTATAGCTGACAGCAAAGAATCTCTTGCTACAGAGATCAAGGGACTAAGGAACAGTCACGAGGAGCTGAAAAACGCTTTAAATGAAATGCATAACAAAATGGAAACCACCACAGCTCGGATTGAAGAGGCAGAGGAGAGAATAGGTGAACTAGAAGATAAAGTTATGGAAAAAGAGGAAGCTGAGAAAAAGAGAGATAAAAAAATCCAGGAGTATGAGGGGAAAATTAGAGAACTAAGTGATACACTAAAAAGAAATAATATACACATCATTGGTATCCCAGAGGAGGAAGAGAGAGGGAAAGGTGCTGAAGGGGTACTTGAAGAAATAATAGCTGAGAACTTCCCTGAAGTGGGGAAGGAAAAAGGCATTGAAATCCAAGAGGCACAGAGAACTCCCTTCAGACGTAACTTGAATCGATCTTCTGCACGACATATCATAGTGAAACTGGCAAAATACAAGGATAAAGAGAAAATTCTGAAAGCAGCAAGGGGTAAACGTGCCCTCACATATAAAGGGAGACCTATAAGACTCGTGACTGATCTCTCTTTTGAAACTTGGCAGGCCAGAAAGAATTGGCACGAGATTTTCAGTGTGCTAGACAGAAAAAATATGCAGCCGAGAATCCTTTATCCAGCAAGCCTGTCATTTAGAATAGAAGGAGAGATAAAGGTCTTCCCAAACAAACAAAAACTGAAGGAATTTGTCACCACTAAACCAGCCCTACAAGAGATCCTAAGGGGGACCCTGTGAGACAAAGTACCAGAGACATCACTACAAGCATAAAACATACAGACATCACAATGACTCTAAACCCATATCTTTCTATAATAACACTGAATGTAAATGGATTAAATGCGCCAACCAAAAGACATAGGGTATCAGAATGGATAAAAAAACAAGACCCATCTATTTGCTGTCTACAAGAGACTCATTTTAGACCTGAGGACACCTTTAGATTGAGAGTGAGGGGATGGAGAACTATTTATCATGCTACTGGAAGCCAAAAGAAAGCTGGAGTAGCCATACTTCTATCAGACAAACTAGACTTTAAATTAAAGGCTGTAACAAGAGATGAAGAAGGACATTATATAATAGTGACAGGGTCTATCCATCAGGAAGAGCTAACAATTATAAATGTCTATGCGCCGAATACCGGAGCGCCCAAATATATAAAACAATTACTCATAAACACAAGCAACCTTATTGATAAGAATGTGGTAATTGCAGGGGACTTTAACACCCCACTTACAGAAATGGATAGATCATCTAGACACACGGTCAATAAAGAAACAAGGGCCCTGAATGAGACATTGGAGCAGATGGACTTGACAGATATATTTAGAACTCTGCATCCCAAAGCAACAGAATATACTTTCTTCTCGAGTGCACATGGAACATTCTCCAAGATAGATCATATACTGGGTCACAAAACAGCCCTTCATAAGTTTACAAGAATTGAAATCATACCATGCATACTTTCAGACCACAATGCTATGAAGCTGGAAATCAACCACAGAAAAAAGTCTGGAAAACCTCCAAAAGCATGGAGGTTAAAGAACACCCTACTAACGAATGAGTGGGTCAACCAGGCAGTTAGAGAAGAAATTAACAAATATATGGAAACAAACGAAAATGAAAATGCAACAATCCAAACGCTTTGGGACGCAGCGAAGGCAGTCCTGAGAGGAAAATACATTGCAATCCAGGCCTATCTCAAGAAACAAGAAAAATCCCAAATACAAAATCTAACAGCACACCTAAAGGAAATAGAAGCAGAACAGCAAAGGCAGCCTAAACCCAGCAGAAGAAGAGAAATAATAAAGATCAGAGCAGAAATAAACAATATAGAATCTAAAAAAACTGTAGAGCAGATCAACGAAACCAAGAGTTGGTTTTTTGAAAAAATAAACAAAATGGACAAACCTCTAGCCAGGCTTCTCAAAAAGAAAAGGGAGATGACCCAAATAGATAAAATCATGAATGAAAATGGAATGATTACAACCAATCCCTCAGAGATACAAACAATTATCAGGGAATACTATGAAAAATTATATGCCAACAAATTGGACAACCTGGAAGAAATGGACAAATTCCTGAGCACCCACACTCTTCCAAAACTCAATCAGGAGGAAATAGAAAGCTTGAACAGACCCATCACCAGCGAAGAAATTGAATCGGTTATCAAAAATCTCCCAACAAATAAGAGTCCAGGACCAGATGGCTTCCCAGGGGAGTTCTACCAGACGTTTAAAGCAGAGATAATACCTATCCTTCTCAAGCTATTCCAAGAAATAGAAAGGGAAGGAAAACTTCCAGACTCATTCTATGAAGCCAGTATTACTTTGATTCCTAAACCAGACAGAGACCCAGTCAAAAAAGAGAACTACAGGCCAATATCCCTGATGATTATGGATGCCAAAATTCTCAATAAGATACTAGCAAATCGAATTCAACGGCATATAAAAAGAATTGTTCACCATGATCAAGTGGGATTCATTCCTGGGATGCAGGGCTGGTTCAACATTCGCAAATCAATCAACGTGATACATCACATTAACAAAAAAAAGAGAAAAACCATATGATCCTGTCAATCGATGCAGAAAAGGCCTTTGACAAAATCCAGCACCCTTTCTTAATAAAAACCCTTGAGAAAGTCGGGATAGAAGGAACATACTTAAAGATCATAAAAGCCATTTATGAAAAGCCCACAGCTAACATCATCCTCAACGGGGAAAAACTGAGAGCTTTTTCCCTGAGATCAGGAACACGACAGGGATGCCCACTCTCACCGCTGTTGTTTAACATAGTGCTGGAAATTCTAGCATCAGCAATCAGACAACAAAAGGAAATCAAAGGCATCACAATTGGCAAAGATGAAGTCAAGCTTTCGCTTTTTGCAGATGACATGATATTATACATGGAAAATCCGACAGACTCCACCAAAAGTCTGCTAGAACTGATACATGAATTCAGCAAAGTTGCAGGATACAAAATCAATGTACAGAAATCAGTTGCATTCTTATACACTAAC